AAAAGGCTCCTTGCAACTTCAACAATATGTCTATTTTTCCTCTCAGCAACTCCATTTTGTTCAGGGGTTCTAACACAGGAGCTTTGRTGAATAACCCCCATGTCAGAGAGATACAAGGATAAAATCTTCTCAAAATACTCTTTTGCATTGTCAGATCTGAAAACCTTAATTATGGTATCAAATTGAGTTAAAACAAGCTCATGAAATTGCCTCACAAGTCTTGGGACTTCATCTCGGGATTTCATTAAGTATATCCAAGTAAATCTAGAAAAGTCATCAATAAACAAGATAAAATATCTATAACCCCCCATAGAGGATAAGTGGTAAGGCCCCCACACATCAGAGTGTACAATATGAAAAGGAAAAGATGATCTTTTATTTCTCACAGGGTAATTTTTTCTACAATGCTTTGACAACTGACAGGAATCACAATTGAGATTGGACACACTGACTCCCTTAAACAGTTTGGGAAACAAATGACTTAAAGCAGAAAAAGGTAAATGACCCAACCGACAATGACTCAACATAATTTGACTGACAGACTCTTGAAAAGTAGAACCAAAAGCAACATTCTTGGGATGATCAAAGCATTGGCTAGGGGTGTCGAGCAAGTATATTCCATTCGCTTCATGGCCACTCTCAATCACCTTCTGAGACTTCAGGTCCTGAAACACACAGTGAGAAGGGAAAAATGTTACACAACAATTCAATGACTTGGTCAAGCTACTTACAGATGATTTTGTCACGACCAGGAAGTAAATCATATGAAACAAACAAAGTGGAAAGGTTGGTCATGTGATAAGAAGCACCTGAGTCTATGATCCAAGGGGTTTTGAGATTACCTGAGGTGGATGCATAGTTAGCAGAAGCCCTTATACTTGAGTGAGCAAATGCGGTAGTGGCTGGACTTCCAGAAGGGTTGGATGATGAAGTTACACCTTCAAGYTGGCTGATCATCTTTCCAAACTTCTCATATTCAGCTTTCATGGCTGCCAACTGTGCACTGGTAGACTCAACCTCTGTATCTGTGCTTGTGGCTGCATGTGCACTTCCTATCTTTCTACTATCATTATTCTTCTGGAATCTGATAGGAACAAGATTGGGATGCAATTTCCAGCACATGTCCTTTGTGTGTTTCGGCTTCTTACAGTATTCACACACCACCTCCTTCTTTCCTATGCTACTGTGAGCTCCTGTAACCCCTTTGGGTTTAATTCCCATATTTGCAAAATGATCATTGATACTGATTCCTTGAACCTGCACTTGCTTCCTACTTTCTTCACTGCTGACCAAAGCATATGCTTGTGACAATGAAACATCTTCCTTAGACAAGATGTTTTGCTTTCTAATGTCATATTCAGAGTTCAGCCCTGTCAAGAACTCAAAGACCCTATTCCTTTCAACCAAATTTCTGTATGTTTCAGCATCCTTGGGGGTATCCCATGTCACAGCCTCTATCAAATCAATCTCTTGCCATAGAGATTTCAGGGTTGAGAAGTATGCTGCAAGTGACTTCTCCCCCTGC